TATTATTTTTTAAGTAGGTATACATATACATGTACAAGATTCAAAAGGCAAAAGAAGGTGTATATACTGTGTCTCTTTCCTACCTTTGTGTCCTCTTTTTCTTCCCTGTGTATCATTCAGAATTTTCTTCCCTATGGATCTTTCAGAATTAATTTAGTATAGGAAACATAAATAAACTAATATATTTTTCTTTACAAATGGAAACATATGTTACACTGTTTTCCTTCTTTCTTGTTTTATTTCATAGTATGAATATATCTTGTTTATATAATTTTCTTTGATGATTAAACAGTCTTCTTTGGTACAAGTACAGCTCAGCTTATCTTCAGTCCCACATTCATGGATATTTAGTTATTTACAGTCTTTTGCTCTGAATAATAATGCTAACACAAACCTTAAGTGTATAAGTCCTTACATAGGTATGAATATATAGGAGAAATTCCTAAGAGTTGAATTGATGGATGAAAGGTTGTATTTTATTTTAAACTTGTTTTATTTTTTATTTTTAAAATTTACATCCAAATTAGTTAGCATATAGTGCAACAATGATTTCAGGAGTAGATTCCTTAGTGCCCCTTACCCATTTAGCCCATCCCGCCTCCCACAATCCCTCCTGTAACCCTCAGTTTGTTCTCCATATTATGAGTCTCTTCTGTTTTGTCCCCCTCCCTGTTTTTATATTATTTTTGTTTCCCTTCCATTATGTTCATCTGTTTTGTCTCTTAAAGTCCTCATATGAGTGAAATCATATGATTTTTGTCTTTCTCTGACTGACTAATTGCACTTAGCATAATACCTTCCAGTTCCATCCACGTAGTTGCAAACGGCAAGATTTCATTCTTTTTGATTGCCAGGTAATACTCCATTGTATATACATTTATATATATATACCACATCTTCTTTATCCACTCATCCATTGATGGACATTTGGGCTCTTTCCATACCTTGGCTATTGTTGATAGTGCTGCTATAAACATGGGGGTGCATGTGTCCCTTTGAAACAGCACACCTGTATCCCATAGAAAGATGCCTAGTAGTGCAATTTCTGGGTCATAGGGTAGTTCTATTTTTAATTTTTTGAGGAACCTCCATACTGTTTTCCAGAGTGGCTGCACCAGCTTGCATTCCCAGAAGGGAATTTTTATATTTTAAATACTGATACTGTGTAATTGCCACACCAACTGTACAGAATTGTACCCCACCCAAACTGTAAAGGTGCCTCTCTTCACATGCTATTGATTGATGAACAATTGTTGATTCAGGATTATCAAAGCTTTTAAAAAAATTTTTTTTACATTTATTTATTTTTGAGAGACAGAGAGACAGAGCACAAGTGGGGAGGGGCAGAGAGAGAAGGGGACAAAATCCAAAGCAGGCTCCCAGCTCTGAGCTGGCAGCACAGAGCCTGACACAGGTCTCTAACTCACAAACCGTGAGATTATGACATGAGCTGAAGTAGGATGCTTAACCTACTGAGCTACCCAGGCGCCCCAGCATTATCAACTCTTTTATCTCAGTCAACCTGAGAAATGATAAATTGTATCTTGTTTGTTTACAAATTTGTTTTAAGGTAGGTTAATCACATTTTGCATGTTTACTTCCTTTTCTTCTAAATATCTATTCCTATTCTTTGCCCACAAATTATTGATCTTTACTTATTGATTTATAAATGCTTTTTAATATTAAGAAAATTATCCCTTTGCATATTTATTGCAAATAAATTTTTCTCAGTTTGTTATTTGATATTTATAATGACTTTTTGCAGGGCACCTGGGTGGTTCAGTTAAGCATCTGACATTGACTCAGGTCATGATCTCACAGTTTGTGGGTTCAAGCCAACATTGGATCCTCATGCTCTCTCTCTCTCAAAAATAAATAAACATTTAAAATAAAATAAAAGTTATACATATAATAACTATTATATATATATATATATATATATATATATATATAAAATATATATAATGACTTTTTGCCACGTAGAAATATTTCATTTTATGAATTTATTAGTCCTATTATTAGTCTTTTATTTTATGGCTTCTGTATTTTAAGAAAACTGAAAAATGTTTTTCTCTTTCTGAAGTTAAAAGGTTACCCCCTATTTCTTCAGGTACTCATGGTTTCATATTTTATGCTTACACCTTTGCTCCATTTAGAATGTAGTTTTGAGTAATGAATGCATTTGGTACTTGCATTAGTTAAGGATTGCATTCAAGTACATAGAACAGGTTTAACTACAAAACAGTTTCTCAGGGGCTTTTGGAGTCTGCTTAGGAAAAAGGAAAGGTAGAAATAGCATCACTTTTACTATTAGAACACAAGAAATCATGAGACAATCTGCAAATTCACAGCTTTTAAAAAATTTATCAGGGGCGCCTGGGTGGCGCAGTCGGTTGGGCGTCCGACTTCAACCAGGTCACGATCTCGCGGTCCGTGAGTTCGAGCCCCGCGTCGGGCTCTGGGCTGATGGCTCAGAGCCTGGAGCCTGTTTCCGATTCTGTGTCTCCCTCTCTCTCTGCCCCTCCCCCGTTCATGCTCTGTCTCTCTCTGTCCCAAAAATAAATAAATGTAAAAAAAAAAAAAAAATTTATCAGAAAGCTGAGGTTCCAGGACAACCTAATTAATCTTAATCTAAGGAAAGATGGACACAGCCAAGGAGATATAGCACAGGTACTCTTGCTCATTTGAGGCTGACTCTCCCTCTGAACACCATCAAGCTGGTAGGAATTCAGGTATAAATTTTAAGGAATTATTGAAGGTCAAATGTAGGCCAGCATGAGAATACAGAAGCCACAAGTACAGGGTAATTCACATTGACTTGCAAGCTCTTCTCCATGGACCTTATTATGTGTTCACAAGAAAGACTGGGGGCAGCATGCGAATCCTGAGAAGGTTTTCCTTTGATACAAGCCTGGGGGAAAGGAAGAGCTGCCACTGTGGGGAAAGGCACCAAACCCTACCCGGATACTTCTTCCCTATCTTTCCCATAGAACAAAGGCCTTAAACCACTGGGTGAAGGACAGTAAATCCTGTCATTAGCCAGTAAATTCTGTATTGGCAAAGAGCCATTGCAGCCAGAGAAAGAGAAAAGAGAAAAAAACCAAACCAAACCAAACCAAACCAAACCAAACCAAACCCCTCTACCTCTATGGGCTCCAGATCATTAGAAATGTTCCAGGAGTGGGTGGGGTAGCTTCATAGAGAAGGCCTACCCCTAAGATGTAGGGGTACAGAGCCTATCTAACACTGATGCTGAATCAGAAAAAACAGGGAATGCCTCCTTCACTCCCCACCCCTCAAACATCAAACAGGCTAATAAGCCTCAAGTAACAAGTAATAGCCACTTACTGCTAAATAGCATCAAGATCAGGGAAGAGATATTATCTGAGGAGCAGGCACAAGGGGAAGATGTAAAATTGAGGGAGGAGCAGAAGTTGATAAACCCTCTGGCAAACCAGCCTCAACCTTAAACAGAGATAATGTTAGGGAAACTTGAAGCTTGTTGTACACGCCAGTATCCATAGCAAAAACAAAACCCAAAAGCAGGTCAGCTCCTAAGTTCACTGACTCAATCTCTTGCACTAAAGTCCTAGCAGAAGGAAAGGTATGCCCATTTACAGGCATGAAAACTATTTACTTCAGTGTTTACTGCCTTATAATTGTCCAGCTTTTGACGAAATATTTTTATAGGCACACAAAGAAGGAAGAGAAAAATGACACGCTATTAAGAGACAAAGCAATTAACAGAACCAGACTCATATATGATACAGATATTGGAATTATCATATGGGGATATTAAAGGAACTATGATTAATGTTAAAGGATCTAGTAGAAAAGGTGAATAGCTTTCATGATAGAATGGGTAATTTCATCAGGGAGATGGAAACTCTAAAGAATCAAATGGAAATGCTAGAAATAGAAAACACGGTAACACAGATAAAGATTTCTTTTGTCTGGCTCATCAGTAGTCTTGACCCAGAGGAGTAAAGAATCTGTGAAAGATAATTATCTGTGAAGATAATTCAATAGAAATATCCAAACTTAAACACAAAGAAAAAAGTGGGAAAGAAACCCCACAATAGAAAAGAGTGTCCAAGATCTGTGGGACAACATCAAACAACCTAACATATGTACAAGAAGAGAGAGAAATGGGACAGAAGAAATATTTTAAGAAATAATGGCCAAGAATTTTTCAAAATTAATAACATACCAAGTCACAAATCTGGGACGATCAGAGAATACTAATCAGGATAAACATCTAGGAACTCATCTAGACGTATCATATATGAGTTTCTAAGAACTAAAGACAAAGAGAAGATCTTGAAAAGAGAAACATTACATAAAGAGGAACAAAGATAAGAAAATCACAGACTACTAACCAAAAACTATGTCAGCTAGAAGATAGTGAAGTGACATCTTCAAAATGCTGGAAGAAAAAAAAAAAGTCAACCTAGAATTCTACACCAAGCAAGCAAGCAAGCAAGAAAAAAAAAAAAAAAAAAAAAACCGAAAGCAGAAACAAAAACAAAAAACCTACACCAAGCATTTTTCAAAAGTGAAAGAGAAATACAGACTTTTCAAAATTTTTTATTATTTTATTTTATTTTTTATGAATATAATTGATTTTCAAATTGGCTTACATACAACACCCAGTGCTCATCCCAACAAGTGCCCCCCTCAATGCCCATCACCCATTTTCCCTCTCTCCCACCCCCCCATCCATCCTTAGTTTGTTCTGTGTATGAGAAATACAGACTTTAAAACAGACCAATAGGGTTTCTCTTCCTTGTAAAACAGGAAATTGACTGCCAACCAGTAATTCTCCCATTTCTTCCTAGCTAACTGAACCCTAAATAAAAAAAAAAAAACTGATGTAAAATTAATACAACATAAATTAACCATTAAAAATATACAATTCAGTAGCATTTAGTACATCCACAACATTGTACAACCATTGTCAATGATTGCAGAACATTTTCATCACCCCCAAAATAAACCCTGTACTCATTAAGGAGTCAAACCCTATTTGATCCTTCCCCCAGTCCATGGAAATCACTAATCTGCTTTCTGTATGTGTAGAATTTCCTATTCTGAACATTTAATATAAATGGAATCATACAATATGTGGCCTCTTTCACTTAGCATAATGTTTTCAAGGTTCATTTATGTTGGAGAATGTATCAGTACTTCATTTTTATGGCTGAATAATATTCCATTGTATGAATATACCACATTTTGTTTATTCATTTATCATTTGATGGACATTTGGGTTGTTTTCATTTTTGGCCTATTATAAATAATGCAGCTATGAATATTATTAGGGGCTGAACACCTGTTTTTAATTTACTTGGGTATCTATGTAGGAGTGAAATTTCTGGGTAATTCTATGTTTAATTTTTTGAGGAACCACTGAACTGTTTTCCATAGTGACTGTACCATTTTATATTCCTGCCAGCAATGTATGATTGATCATAATTTTTATTTGGGGCTGCAAAATGTCTAGTTCTTTAGGATGAATCATGATTGGTAAAAGCCAACTGAGGGCCATTATATTTCCCAAAAAATAGGCCACAACTATATTTCCAGTCTGACATGCTTTTCCTTAAACTTATCACTTTACCATTGAGATGAAGTATGTTTCATTTTCCCCTTGAAACTTGTCAGGCTTTTGTGACTCATTTAATAAATAGAAGATGGAGCAAGTAATGTTCTGTGATTTCTTTGTTTATTTATTTATTTTGAGAGAGAGAGATAGCATACACATGTGCATCCGAATGGGGGAGGGACAGAGAGAAGGGGAGAGAAAGAATCCCAAGCAGGCTCTGCACTGTCAGCACAGATCCTGTCTGGGACTCAATCCCATGAACTGTGAGTCCATGACCTGAGCCAGAATCAAGAGTCAGACGCTTAACTAACTGAGCCACCCAGGTGCCCCAATGTTCTGTGATTTCTAATGTAATTTCATAAAAGACACTATGGCTTCTGCCTAGCTCTTTTTCTCAGAACATGTGCCCTTGAATCCATAGGCAGCCATGTAGCAAGTTCAGAAAATCATGAGGAGAAACTATACAGAAATAGAGTAAGATGCCAAAGGAACCCCAGTTGCTCTAGCCTCAGCTGATTATCTTCTTAATCCAAACACCAGATGTCTGGATTAGTAAATCTTCTGATGATTCCAGTACCAGCATTGTCTGTCTGACTGCAAAAAAAACATATTCCAAACAAAACTGCCTAGCTGAGCTCAGTTAACCACCCAACTGATGAGAGATAGTAATAAAATATTGTAATTGTCTTTTAAGCCATTCACTTTGGAGGTGGTTTATTAATCAACACTACATGTCAAAGCAATTGATCTCCTTTGCCAGATCCCCAATTTCTAGATTACTTTGCACCTAAAGATGGCCATATGGACCAGTTCTGATTAATAAGATATATGAGGAAATTTGCTGGGGGGCTTCTGGGGAAGAATTTGCTTTCTGATTAAAGAGACAGGATATGAAAACTGGCTTCTAGCTCTCCAACCCATGACTCCTTGCTTCCTGCCTTGAATAAGAAGTGCAGGTATAAGGTTTACATCTAGAGCCACCTTGTGATCCTGAGGTGACATGTCAGAGGATGAAATATCAGCATCTGAGTATGATGGAGAAGACTGGAAAGTGGTTGGATGTTTGACGGCATCAATAAACCCCCAAAGGAACCCTGGAACCTCCTGGGTTTCACTATATTTTCTGAGCCAGAGCATTTACATTTCTTCCAACTACCTTTCATTTTCATGTACCATAGTTATGGGTGATAGCAAGCTATGTCCTAGTTTAATCTAAGATACCATTTTTAATTCCATTTTCTTAGTTTTGAGATGATTTTCTAGAAGAAAATCTTTCTCAGATTGACAAAAAATGTTTTATTATAAAATATGTTAGTAAAGATGTGGGAAAAAGTCTTTATTACATACTTCTGGTTGGAACATAAAAAGGAACAAACTTTTGCAGTGCAGTTTAGGGATAGGAAATATAAAATGCACATAGCCCTTGACCTCGCATTTTCTGTTTCAGGAATTTATCTAATAGATAAATTCACAAAGACTTATGTGCAAGGATTATAACTGCATCATTATTTGTAATAGTGAAAGAGTGGAAACAACTTAAACACAAGACTGGTTAAATAAATTATGATTTAGCCACACAATGGAATACTATGCAGCCATCATCTCAAAAAGGATGAGATAGAACAATGTGTTCTTGCATATAATTGAAACAAGTGTATATAGTTTCCTCTCATTTTCATAAAAAAAGTATGAGGAACACACAAATATTTATTTATATTAATTATATATACGATGGGATTGTTAAGGACCAACTTGGAGGCTGGGTACCAGACAGGCAGATGAAATCTCTCTCTATTCTTCAATAGATTGTTACAAGTCACACTGTTTCTCTATTCCCTGTCCAGAGATGTCCTGCATGGCTAAATGACAGTCGGGCTGGCACTGTAGTGTACCACCTATATTTGCTTTTTCCATCTTTTCCTACCTTCCTTTTCCCTCCATTCTGTCTATAAATAATTAGTACTTAAGCTTTCCTTGGCCTCTTTTTTCCAGCAAACTGGAGCTAAGACAAAGAGGATAGCTTAAATATTTCATAAGAATTTAAAAATTTTTTTTCAACGTTTATTTATTTTTGGGACAGAGAGAGACAGAGCATGAACGGAGAGGGGCAGAGAGAGAGGGAGACACAGAATCGGAAACAGGCTCCAGGCTCCGAGCCATCAGCCCAGAGCCTGACGCGGGGCTCGAACTCACGGACCGCGAGATCGTGACCTGGCTGAAGTCAGACACTTAACCGACTGCGCCACCCAGGCGCCCCTTTAAAAAATTGAGGTGTAATCGACATATAACATTATATTAGTTTCAGGTATACAACATGATTCAGTATTTGTATAATACTGCAAAAAGATCACCACAATTCTAGTTACCATCCATCACCTTACAAGATTGCAAAATTTTTTTTTCTCATGATGAGGATTTTTAAGATCTATCCTCATGTTTCAAATATGCAACACAGTATTATTAACTATAGTCACCATGGTGTACATATATCACCACGACATAATTATTTTTATTTTTTTTTGAGAGAGTGAGCATGAGCCTGAACCCACGACAGCGAGATCACGGCCTGAACCCATATCAAGAGTCAGACGCTTAACCAACTGAGCCACCCAGGCACGCTGACAGAATTATTTTGTAACTGGAAATTTGTACCTTTTGACGCCCTTCACCCATTTCTCTCACCCTCTACCTCCTACCTATGGCAACCATCAATCTGTTCTCTGTGTCTGTGAGCTTGGTTTTTGTTGCTGTTTTAAATTCCACATACAAGTGAGATTGTATGGTATTTGTCTTTCACTGTCTGACTTATTTTACTTAGCATAATGCCCTTGAGGTCCATCCATGTTGTCACAAATGGTAAAATTTCATTCTTTCTAATGGCTGAATAGTATTCCTTTGTGTATATTGCAGTTTCTTTCTACTCATCTGTCAATGGACGCTTAGGTTATTTCCATATCTTGGCTATTGTACATAATGCTGCAACATGGGGGTGATATATCCCTTCAAGTTAGTGGGTTTTTTTCCTTCAGATAAAGACTTAGAAGTAGAACTACTGGATCATATTACTGGTTTTAATTTTTTTAAGGTAATTTATTTTTTTGAGAGAGAGCGCGAGAGAGAGCATGCACACGTGAGTGGGGGAAGGGGCAGAAAGAGAGGGAGGGAGAGAATCCCAAACAGGCTCATGTCCAGTGCAGAGGCCAGTGTGGGGGCTCGGTCCCACAACTGTGAGATCATGACCTGAGCCAAAACCAAGAGTCAGTTGCTCAACCGACTGAGCCACCCAGGTGCCCCTATTAGTTCAATTTTTAATTTTTTTAGGAACCTCCGTACTATGTTCCATAGTGGCTGCACCAATTTACATCAACAATGCATGAGCGTTCCTTTTTCTCCATGTCCTTGCCAACACTTGTTATTTCTGATCTTTTTGATAATAGATATTCTAACAGGTATGAGGTGATATCTCATTGTGGTTTTGATTTGCATTTCCCTGATGATTAGCGATATTGAGCATCTTTTCAGGTACCTGTTGGTCATCTGTATGTCTTCCATGGAAAAATGTCTATTCAGATCCTCTGCCCATTTTTAAAAAATGTTTATTTACTTTTGAGAGAGACAGACACACACACAGAGTGTGAGTGGGGAAGGGACAGAGAGAGGGGGAAGGAGATACAGAATTTGAAGCAGGCTCCAGGCTCTAAGCTATCAGCACAGAGCCCAACACAAAGCTTGAACTCACAAACAGTGAGTTCATGACCTGAGCCGAAGTCTGACGCTTAACTGACTGAGCCTCCCACTGCCCATTTTTCCATCAGATGGGTTTTTTGCTTTTTTTTTTTTGTTACTGAATTGTATGGTTCTTTAAATATTTTTTATAT